TATTATGACATAGTTCCTATGGATCAGGAATTCATGAGAGACTTAGCTGGGTGCTTCTGGCTCAGGGTCTGTTCTGAGGTGGCAGCCAAAATGTTGGCCTGGGCCACAGAAGGCAGTACTAGGGCTGGAGGATTTGTTTCTGAGTTCACCCATGTTGGGAGGAGGCCTCAGTTCCTTGCCACTTGTCCTTAGGGCTACTTGAGGGCCTGCATGACATGGCAGCTGACTCCCCGCACAGTGAGTGATCCAGAATAGCAAGGAGGAAGGTCCAGTGGGTCTCTGACCCAGTCTCAGAGGTGACATACCATCACTTCCACCATACTCAGCTCTTAAGAAGCAAGTTACCAGATCTGGCCCATATTTAAGGGGAGGAGAATTAGGCTCCATCTTTTGAAAGGAGGAGCATCAGAAAATTTACAGACGTATTTTAAAACCACTACAAGCCCCCAGGTAGGTAGTGGTAGAGCTGGGACTTGAACTCGGGTCTTCTGTTCTATCCTGTGTGGTAGGATTGTGTCCCCTAGGATCTCTGCCTCACACACATAGGCATCCTAGTAGAGAAACTGAGATGGAGTGGCCCAGGAGCCTCAGGCAGGTCTCTTAGGGCCTCATTCTCCTGGTTACTGGGTATCTTCCCATTGTTTTTGCCGCAGGTGAAGCGGAGGCTGGACCTGGAAACTGACCATCAATACCTGGCTGAGAGTAGTGGGCCAGCCCGGGGCAGAGGCCGTCACCCAGGAAAAGGTACCCATGGACCTCAGGCTGGAGCAGGCCCCCTGACTGGGCCCATGTTGGGGGTGTGGGCAGACAGACATACTTGCAAACTAAGTTTTAGTCTGTCAGGCCTGGGCCTTAGCCAGGCCTCTGGGGGCCCCAAGGGGCAGCTGGAGTGGCCGCCTGGCATGGCTTCTCTAGGCCCCAGGGGATGGGGAATTCCCCAGCCTGAAGAGAAATGCTGTGGTGGGTAGGCAGCAGCCATAGGGCCTCCCTGCTTGGCCTCATCAAGGGAAGCAGCCATCTGTCCTCCCACCCCCATCCTGTCTTGCATTGCCAGAGGGGCTGGTTCAGCTGGGGGTGGAGATGCTGCTGAGGGACCCTGCCCTGCTTGGCACCCCCAGGTATGAAATCCCCAGGGGAGAAGTCCCGCTATGAAACATCACTGAATCTGACCACCAAACGCTTCCTGGAGCTGCTGAGTCGCTCGGCTGATGGTGTTGTTGACCTGAACTGGGCAGCCGAGGTGCTGAAGGTGCAAAAACGGCGCATCTACGACATCACCAATGTCCTCGAGGGCATCCAGCTCATTGCCAAGAAGTCTAAGAACCACATCCAGTGGCTGTAGGTACCTGCCAAACAGGAGGGTGGCAGGGATCCGCTGGTGGCTGCAACCCTATCTGATATCTGGGGAAACCAAGGCTTAGAGAGGAGAGGTGTTTTCCCTGAGGTGACAAATGCAGGAAAGTATACAAATCTTGCATATCCAGCTCAGTGCAGCCTTACATATTTCTTCACTTGGGTAACCACCATCCAGATCAGGATAAAGAACATTTCCAGCACCCCGAGAGGTGCTGCGTTTCCTTCTTAGTTGGTACCCACTCCTCATATACCAGGTGACCACTATTCTGGCTTCTCTTGCCATTAATGGGATTGTCTAACATAGCTGTTTTAGTCTTAATTCTTGTTTTATTTTTTCCTCCTTGCCTCTTTCCCTGGCCAGCCTACTTCCCTCTCCTTGACACATCTGCCTTTTCAGTTTTTACTAGATCGTTCCATTCTGCATCCTTTTTTCTCTTTTCACTTGACAACATGTTTTAGAAGTGCTTTCATGTCTGTATATCTAATGTATTCTCATCCTTTTATATGACTGTGGTATTCCATGGCATTCCTGCCATCATTTACTTATCCAGCCTCCTCTTAGGGACGGATGGGTGTTTTACAAACATTCAGGCCTGAGTTGAAACCCATGCCAGTCTGACTTGGAGCTCAGCTTCAGTCCTCTGCTGTTTGCCAGCTGACGAGCCAGACCCAGTGAGGGGCAAGGGGTTGCCTGGGTCTCACAGAACAGAGGCAGCAGCAGCAGACTGGGTGCAGAGGGTCAGGGCCCCTGGACAGAGGGACCAGGAGCTGCTAACCCTCCCTGTGGCTCCCCACAGAGGCAGCCATGCAGCTGTGGGGATTGGTGGGCGGCTTGAAGGACTGACCCAGGACCTCCAGCAGCTGCAGGAGAATGAGCGGCAGCTGGACCACCTGATCCACATCTGTACCACGCAGCTGCGGCTGCTCTCTGAGGACACCGACAACCAGCGATATCCTTGGACTTTGTGGAGGCCAGGCCCGGTGTGCTCAGGTGGGACTAGAGAGGCTACCCCAGGCCCTGATTCAGGAGAGGGCTCTGGCTTTGGAAGCAAGTCCTGGCTCAGCATTTACTCACTGTGTCATGCTGAACAAGTTATTTAACCTCTCTGAGCCGCAGCTTCATCTGTAAAAGGGGGTGGGGAATCCAATCCCAAAATGGCACAGATTAAAACAAAAGCTAGTACCAGCAATAATGAACATTTAGTACAGTGATTCAGTACGTGGTTGTAGCTTCAGGGTTGGAGATAGAAGTTTTTATTTGTCTTCCATTCACAGAAATAGAAACTTTATTTAAAAATAAGATGGCTTTTTTTTTTAGAGTGCATCCCTAAATTATGTTTATAAGCTTTGGAGACAACCACTGATTGACACCAAAATTATGGGTCAGAATAAATTCTCAGCACCAGGCCTAGAGTTGTATTAAGTAATTTACATGAAACTAATATTGCATGCAGCCATCATTACCTTGGGATTAGATGGGTAGAATGGTCTCATCATACAGATGTGGAAATTGAGGCTCAGGGGCCCAAGATAGGCTTGAGTACCAACTGTGTGCCAGGCCCTGGGGTTGGGAATGGAAAAGACAGGAGTACTAGGCAAGTGTGGGCTCTGCCTTAGCTGTCTGGGTAGGTGGCCTAAGAGGTCAAAGGTCATGTGTCCTTAACTCCACCAACCCTGGCCTACGTGACCTGCCAGGACCTTCGTAGTATCGCAGACCCTGCAGAGCAGATGGTCATGGTGATCAAGGCCCCTCCCGAGACCCAGCTTCAAGCCATGGACTCCTCAGAGGTGAGACATGGGACCCCGAGCCCCGTCAGGATAGGTGGGGCTGGGATGTCGGTCAGCTGAGCCTCCGTTTACCCTGCCTGCTGCCTCCACCCAGACCTTTCAGATCTCCCTTAAGAGCAAACAAGGCCCCATCGATGTTTTCCTGTGCCCTGAGGAGAGTGAGGGCGGGATCAGCCCCAGGAAGACCCCATCCCAGGGGGCACCTTCTGGGGAGGAGGACAGGGCAGCTGACCCTGCCACCACAGTGCCACCACCATCATCTCCCACCTCATCCCCTGCCACGGATCCCAGCCAGTCCCTGCTCAGCCTGGAGCAAGGTGGGTGAAGGGTGGGTGGATGGGGTGGGGCAGGGCCCCTCTCCTAGGTGGGTGGGCAGGCATGACAGCCCCATCTGCCCTCCCTGCTGGGGTGTCCCTGGCCTATGATGCTCCCCCATCTCTCCAGAACCTCTGCTTTCCCGGATGGGCAGCTTGCGGGCCCCTGTGGACGAGGACCGCCTGTCCCCGCTGGTGGCTGCCGACTCTCTCCTGGAGCATGTGCGGGAGGACTTCTCTGGCCTTCTGCCTGAGGAGTTCATAAGCCTGTCTCCCCCCCACGAGGCCCTCGACTACCACTTTGGCCTTGAGGAGGGCGAGGGCATCAGAGACCTTTTTGACTGTGACTTTGGGGACCTCACCCCCCTGGATTTCTGATGGGGCTTAAGGGCACCAGGGCTCCCTGAGGTGCCCACCCTGCCTTTGCAGTCCTGGAGCCTCCTGCCCCTGGCCATCTTCTCACCATGATTGGAAACTTTTAATTTATACCCCTCTCTACTATCTCCAGAAGCTTCTAGCTCTGGAGTCTGGCTGCTGCCAAGAGGCTGAGCAAGCCAGGAAGGGAAGGATTCTCTGTTTGTGGTGTGTATGTGCATGCACCCGGCACCCAACATGTGTGTACATGGGGTGAGTGCTATGTGAGCATGTGTGTGTGCATGTACCGGGGAATGAAGGTGAACACATCTGTGTGTGCACTGAAAACACGCCCCAGTGTGTCCACGTGTGTGTGCATGAGCCCATGTGTGCGCGTGGTGGGGTCTCTAACTGCACTTTTGGTCTCCTTGCTCCAGGGGCCCCATGAGGCCCAGGGTGGCCACCTGCCCCCAGAATCCTGCGTGCTGACCAAGCCAGGTGGTGAGGCCTTGGCCTGCTTGTTTGCAGGACAACGAGAGCACTTCTGTCGTCTGCAAGGTTTTTCTGATCGAAGCTTTAATGGAGTGTTATTTATTTATCAAGGCCTCTTTGGCAAGCCTGGGGCCCCAGCAAAGGGTAGGAGGGATGTGGGGCTGATGTCCCAGCTCCCTATATCCCTGAGTGAGGGCAGGCATCCCTGAGCTGTTCTTTGCCCCACTCTGAAGGAGCTGAGGCCTGAGCGGTTTATTTATTGGGAAAGGGAGACAGACTGACTGACTGACAGCCATGGGTGGATGGAGGGGGTGGTCCCTCCCTAGGGGGGGTGATCACTGCAGGGCTCCGGCTTCACCCCCAAGGATGGATGTGAGATGGGAGAGGTGAGTGGGGGACCTTTACTGACAGGGTGGGCGGGAAGGATGGGTGAAGGGCCTCCCCCACAGCCCAGACCACAGGGGCCCCTCCTGTGGCATTCGAAGTGCCCCACTCCCTTACTCCACTTCTCGCTCTGCCCCCACCCTCCAATCTGCACTTTGATTTGCCTTCGTAACAGCTCTGTTCCCTCCTGCTTTGGTTTTAATAAATATTTTGATGGTGTTTGGGCTGGGTTTTGGGACTCTGTACTGGGAACAAATCTGGGGGTGGGAGAGGTCAATATTGCTGGAAAAATACCTGTTCTCTACTTCCCTTCTTCCTGTCCCTACTTGATTTCATTTCATTTAAGCTTCACAGCCCCAAGAAAGGTAGGCTTCATTACCATGTTTGTCCTAGCTTAAAAACTGATACAATAAAGTAATATGTGAACTCCCCTCCTTTCCTCAGCCCCAGAGAGGCCACTGATCAGGTTGCTATGTTCCTCCCAGGTGTTTCTGGGCATTTGTAAACATGCAGCAGATAATAACTGACCGATTCTGTGTCAGGATCTTTCAGATTCTGGAGACATGTGTTCCCTCATAGGGCTTTCAAGGGTCTGCTGGAGGAGACTCCCCAAATCAGGGAAGGCTTCCTGAAAGAGGTGGTGCTTGAACTGAGAGCTGTAAGGTAGTCATTAGCTGGGAAGGAGAACATGAACACACCATGCAGAGAGGGCAGTATAGGCGGAGACCCTCAGGCAGGAGGGAGCAAGGCACAGAGGACCTGAGAAACCAGTGTGGCTGGAATCCTGAGGTGAGGGCCAGAGTGGAGTTCAGTCTTGGGGTTTAAGGGGCAAGGACTCACCGGTGAGTCTTCGGAGGGGCACATTTTTCAAAAGCTCCCTTTGGCTTCTGTGTGGAGGATGGGTTGAAGAGGGGACCAGAATGGCAGAGGGAAGGATGGACTGGGAGGGGTCCACACGAACCTGTTTTAGGTGGGCTTTCTCTGAGTGCCTATCTTAATCCCTTTATAGTCAGTGAATCCTCACAACAATCCGATGGAGTCTTACCCCCATTTTGCAGAAGAGGATTCAGAGGCTCAGGTGAAGGCACTTGTAGGTTTTACCCACAGGTGTTACATGCTGCAATTTGTTGGGCATGGGCAGCATCTCTGTTCCTGGCTGTGTAGTACTACCGAGTTGATGGTCATTTACTCAGCCAGTAGCCAGTTATCTGGAAATTATTCCTTGCATGGTTCCTTACTCTGCAGTGGCCATTCCTCCAGTCTCTGGTGACAACAGCAGAGGTGAAGGATGTTAGAGGTCTCCATAGTGCAGCTCTTACACATCTACAGGCTGGAGTTTGTTCCGCTTTTCCAGATGAGGAAACGGAGGCCCTGGAGAGGGGCTTGCAGAAGGCCCAGGCCTGGCTGGGTGGCGCCACGGGCCTGAGAGGCCCGGGAGAGGCATCTGAGGCCAGTCTAGGCAAGGGGCGGGGCCACGGGGCGGGGCCCTGGGCGTCAGCGCCGGCGCCAATGGGCAGGCATCCCCCTCCCAGTTCCGAGTCCCTAGCGGCGGCGTCCAGAGCCGGGATCCTCAACCCATCTTGAGCCGAGCGGGTGGCGGCACCATGGCGTGCGCAGGGCTGCTCACCGTATGCCTGATCCAGCCGCCTGCGCCCCTGCTCCCAGCGCCGGCCACTGGGCCCGCCGGACACGCGCTCTTCCAGGATGTGAGTGTGCAGCGGGTTGGGGGCATCAGCTCTCCGGCCGTGGGGTCGTCTCGCGGCGTCTCTCTAGGTCTTCCCTCTCCTTGCGTCTCGCTGGGCTCTCACTGTCTCCCCCTGTCCCCATCGTTGTGTCTCTTTCTCTGCCAGTCTTTCCCTTTCCAGATCTGTTTGGGGCCCCGTCTCTGTCTCACTATATCTCTGACCCTGCTGTTTCCATATCTCCCTGTATCTCGCTGCCTTTGTGTCCCGTTCTGTCTTTCCTTCTCTCTCGTCTCTAGTTCAGTATCACTGCCCTTGTGCCCCACGCCCCCAAACCAACCCCATCTTTGTGTCTGGTGGGGTGGGAACATCAACACGATCACAGAAGCAGTTGCTGTACCCCCTGGCAGCCCCAGGCTGGGCTGATCCAGGTAAAGGGCCTGGAAGAGTAAGACCATAAGACCCAGTGCTGACCCCAGGGTCCTTTAGACCTGACCCAGGGGCCGTGGGGGTCCCACAGTTGGTCAGGGCTGTCCACAGCCATCCTCTGTGGTCTACACCCCTCCTGTGGGTGGTAGGTGGCCCTTCAGTCCGCATGGGCACTAGAATAAGCAGTCTAGCAGGGCCTCGGTCACTGCCCTGAGCCCCTTAACCCACCTTTCACCCCAGTGCTCAGCCCCTACCTGGTCCTGTCAGGCCCCCACTCCCAGAGGTTCCTGCCAGTGTGAAAGGCTGTACTCTTGCCCCCTCGCCACTGCCCCCAGTGACTCAGCACCTTGACCACAGTCCTGGCTGGAAAGGACCTGACCCTCCTGTTTCCCAGATGGAAAAACCAATGCCTAATGCCTACGGGGTTAATTAGGAGTATATCTGAAATTACACATGGAGGCAGGGACACGCAAGAGTGTGGAACCAGGTGTCCTCATTCCCAGCTTAGTACTCCCCACTAATTCCATCTGCTCCAGCCAGGCCACATAGGGCTGCTGGACCTCATGCCAGTGGCAGACCTCTGAGTCAGGCTTCTGGCTAGTAGTTAGATTCATCCTTGAGCCTCACCAACCCTGAGAAAACAGCCATAGGGAAATGGCATTCAAAAGCTGGAGCTGATGAGGGCTCTCTGTCTAGCCTTTGGCCTGCCCCTCCTTGCCGGGCCGACTGGTCTCTCATTTGCTGGGTTGCTTTGGGTGAATTGGGAATCTCTGGTCCCTGGGAGAGGCAGGACCGTGTCTTGACTGCTATTCTGTTTCTGTCTCTTGTGCTTCACCTCTGCTTCTCTGTAAATAAAATCCGTCCATCCTTGCTTTCTGCCACCCTCACTCCCCCTTGTGTACACACACACACATATATATACACACACACACACACATTGAGTCAGCCTCCTAGGAAGCCCAAGCCCTGGAAGGATTAACCCCAGCCTGCTCCCTCATGTGCGAGTGGGAAAACTGAAGCACCTGCTAAGGAAGGACTGGTCCCTGCCTGCGTTTCAGGGTCTTCAATAAGCACACAGGGAAATAGCCCAGAGCAGGCAGAGTCTAGGATGGACCATGGCCACACAGAAAAATTGAAGGTTCAGGTCTGGGACATGTGCCCAGGTTCCTCAGGCCGCATCTTGGCCCATCTCCCACCTTTCTCAAGCTAGGACTTTGCCAAGAGTTGATGCATCAGACAGAACTTGGGATGGACTCTGGGTGTAGGAGATGGGGGTGCAGGGAGCTGGCTTGGAGCACCACCCATGAGTCCAGGCCCCACAGGAGAAGTGAGCAAGCAGCGGGTCCCGCTGTGTGTTCTTCCTGTGCTTCCCTTGTTGGAAAAGCTCCTGCAGAGTTGAGCTGGGCAGGAGGAAAGACGAGGCAGGGGGCAGGCTGGCCAGCTGGGGCCCTGTTGAGTTGGGTGGGGATCTCTTGCCTCCCAGGCCTTACTCACAGCTCCTATCCGTACGCCTTTGTCCTCTAGGTTTTCCGCAGAGCAGACAAGAATGGTGAGTGTGGCTTGCCCTGGGTCCCACAGTGGGGGGAAATGTGGGGGACATCATGGAGGCTCAGGGGAGGGTTTGGGGGAACAATCTAGAATGGAAGAAAAATCTTGGGGGGACCCAAATCAAGAGAATCAATCAAGGCATCCTTCCCAGAGGAAGTGCTTTTTTGAGTCAAGTTTAGCGGGATGGAAAGTGGAGGGAATATGGTTTGGCCAGAAGTTGGAGGTGAGGACTTACTTTCACACAGTGCCCTGGCACAATGGTGGGGGTGCCTTCCCATGTATGACCTTGAGTTCTTCACTCCATTTCACAGACAAAGGAGCAGAGACCCAGAGAGGTGAAGCAGGTTGACTGAGGCCACACAGCCTTTAAGTGGTGGGCCTTGAACCCAGGTCTATGTGATGCTTTGTTCCCAGGCTCCCTGTGTGAGGGGCTGGGAAGGGTGGGCTAATGGAAACGAGGCCTTGTGGGGATTTTACTCTTAAGAGTTGTAGAGAGCTCAGTAACTTTCTATATGACCAATCATCTGGACCCAGGGAAGACCTGGGCAGGATAAAACTGGCTCTAGGGAATCAACTCCTCCTGCCCTGGGTCCTGGGCAGTCTTGAAAGCTAAAGCAGGAACCCTTAGGAGACCTCCAAAGCAGTTTACTGCCCATTGATGACCCAGAGCAGGACCCTGTGCCATGATTGGCCAGTTAAGGGTCTAAGCTGAGGCAGCCAGGCAGCCTTGACCTCACTTTCATCTGAAGTCTTCAGACCCTTTTGTGTTTCAGCCTCCTTGAGACAGGATCATGTCCCCACCCCTTGGCCCTTCTCCTTGGGTCTTTTTAAATTGGTGGGGACCATTTGTCCCAACGCATTGATCAGGACACATGGTGTCATTTGGATCAGAGCATTTTGTCCACTCCCTCTGCCCCATCTGCTTAGAGACCTTACAGGCCAGATCCCCAGTATCTTTGGTCATCCCACTCAAGTGCTGTCAGCTTTTGCTACATGCCCCTTGTGACAGGAGGGTCATTCCCTCCAGAGCCAGCCTATTGCTTCTTACAGAGGCCCCAACCCTTAGAAAGGTCTCATCTGCCTCCCTATGGCTTTTATTTATTGATTTATTTTTATTTTTAATTTTTTTAGCTGAGCCATCCTGCCACCTGTTGGCAGCTCAACGGCAGCTCAGCTTGGGCCAGGAATCGAACCGCTGTTGCTCAGAGCTCAAACTCTTGAGCGAGCTCTTAACCAACTGAGCCACTCGGCCAGCCCTCCCTATGGCATCTTTATGAAGGGCCTGGAATCACAGCACCAACACTCCCTACACCCTGGAGCCAGGCTGGCCAGCATGTGGGGAAAACACTCAGCCCCCAAGTCCTAGACATCAAGTGATGTCTAGGCCCTGCTATGATTTGGCTGTGTGTCCCAGGCTGTTGTTCATTTGTTTCTTCATTTGACAAACATTTATTAATTTATTAAGTCCCTACTTAATGCCATGTGTGCACTGTCCTGCCCTTTGGGTGCCTGCAAAGTGGGCCCTGTTGCCTTAAGTGGTTACCTCTGGGGGCCCCAGCCCTTTTTTTCTCCAACAGCCAGGCCCTCCATCAAGAACAGAATCCCATTCCATCTGGCTGGGTGGTTGTGAGATGCTGTGAGGCCTTCGGGGGGCTTGGACCTGGTGGCAAGGGTGCAGCCAGGGGTCAGGTATACCAACTCTACTCCATACCCCTCTTCCCCAGATGATGGTAAACTCTCATTTGAGGAATTCCAGAATTACTTTGCCGATGGGGTTCTCAGCCCCAGGGAGCTGTGGGAGCTGTTCAGCGGCATTGACGGTCATTCTACTGAGTGAGTATGAGACGGGGATGAAAGAGCCGTGGGTAGATGTGAGGCCAGGTTGTCCCAACCCCACTGTGTGCCCTGCTACTTTGGTTCCTTATGGAGAATGGGGAGGTAGGGAGTGGAGGGGTAGGAGTGGTGATGGTAGGGAGAGGGGTGGGTGCCAGGGCTCGGTACCAACTTTTTCCCGCCCACTCGCTCCCTCCCTGTCTCCAGCCTTGCCCATCACTGCTTTGAGCTGGGACCCCAAAATAGCCAAGCCTGAGTCACCACACATCATGGTTCAGCCCACAGGTGCCCCCATTCCTGTTCCCAGCAGAGACCAGAGGATGCCTGGGGACAGCTGGGCCCCACCCGCTTCCACCCATGGATGCAGGTGCATGAACATGCACACACCTCCCCACGTGCGCGCCCACCTCTACAGGCCTTAGCACGCGTTTGTATGCTTTCGTCCCCATGCTTCCTCACATGGGTGCACACACATACACAGCTGTCCCTCCCGCTCACTTCCCTTCCTCCCTCATCTCCTTAGAATAAATTCCAGACTCGTGGTTGGCTCCCGCGTCTCCCTCCTCCCATTCTGAGGCCTGGGCTGGACCCTTGGTCTGCAGTGCTACCACCCACCACCCACATGACACTAATCACATTCCTTGCCCTTCAGGCAGCCCTTCCCTGACCTACCAAGGAATACCCAGCCTTCTCTGGACTTGCCTTGCCCTGGCTTTCCCTTCCCAGCTCCGACCACTCCTCCCTGGCCTGTATCCACATCTATCTTCCCTAGCCTGAAACCTCCATGGAGGCCAAGAGTGAGTCTGAGTTTTTGCCCTCAGAGAGTGTTGGATGGGGCGATAATAGTGCCCTTGGTCCCCCACCCTGCCTCTGTGCACTGAGCAACTTAACCTGGGGTAGAGGCAGGAGTCGCCTCCTTGTCAGGCTGAGCTGGGCAGGAAGTGGGGACAAACGTCTGTTTCAAAGTCCCAGTTCACCAGGCTCAAGTCTGAGGATCTTAAGGGTGCCTTCTCTTTTCCCCGCAGCAATTTGGAAACAGAGAAACTGTGTGGTGAGTAGGCCCATGGGAGCCCTTGTCTCCTGGGACCCCTGGGCAGGTGGCTGCAATGAGGGGCTGTTGCTGGTCTCTTAATGGAGGATGGGCTGGGTTCAAGATATGAGGCCTGGTTGGTTGCTGAGGAATTCCAGGTTGGGTAGATGGGTGGTGATGGTGAGTGGTGGTGGGCAGTGGGAACCGTCAAGGACCTTCTGTGCCCACAGACTACTTTTCAAAACACCTGGGTGTCTACCGGCCTGTGCTGGCTGCGCTGGAGTCGCTGAACCGTGCAGTGCTCACGGCCATGGACACCACTAAGCTGGTGAGTGGAGGAGCTGATGGTGGGGGGCTCAAAATGAGGGCAGGAGGTGTCTGTTGTGCTGGGGGAGCCTTTATTGTCATGGCTCAGGGCTGTGGAGCTAGAGGCCTGGGTTCAAATCCTGGCTCTCCTACTTCCTGTCTGTGTACCTTTACTTCCCTGGGCCTATTTCCTCATCTACAAACTGGGGATAAAAATAGAGCCTGCCTCCATGCATTGGTTGTGACAATTAAATGAGAATGAAGGCAGCAATTTTTGTTTGTCTTCTTCTCTATCCCTAGCACCCAGAACTACGCCTGGCACATAGTAGGTGCTTAATGCCTGGAGCTGCTGTTTTTATTATTGGCCAGACCTTACTATTATGGGATATCAAGCCCAGCAGGGATGAGCTGGGGGTGGGGCATGCTTGCACATGTATCCACAGGCCCATGCTGGTGTGCAGAGCCTGGTAGACTGGCCTGAGGATGTGAGGGAGTAGGCAGGCACGTATGCACCCACGTGTGTGTGTGCACGTGTGCACAAGCATAAATAGTGCTCACCGCCAGGGCTCCAGGCCCTGGTATGGTGACTTCAAAGAACCCACAAGCCACCCCTCTTTTTTATGTGTTCCTTTTAAGGTCTCCACCTCCCTTTGTCCCATAGCTCTTAATCAGGGGGTGGGGAGGGAGCAGTGAGCAAGCCTGGAATTGTGCCTGACCTCACTTTTTACACAAGGGGAAACTGAGGCCCTCAGCTAGTCTGATGATCAGCTGTGGACAGTGCTTCCCCTCTGGTGGCTTTCACATGGGATTAAGTAACTTTTCCAAGGGTCACCCCTTTGGGCCTGACGTGGGATGGGAATAGCACATGATGAGGGGTTGGTGTGTTGTGGTGACTTCCATATCTGTGGCCTGGATACAAGTGTGGGCATCGACTTCCTTATTGCCATGGAAACGGCCCTGGTCATGGGCAGCTGGACTGGTATTTTCTGAGCTGGCACTGGTTAGGGGGAATGCAGACTGCAGGTCAAAGTGAGGGCCCTGGGGGACCAGACCACCTCCTCATGGCCCAGAAATCACCACACGGTGACTCTGCCAGCTCCAATCACTTGAGATTTTTATCTGGCACTCTATGCCTCTAATAGAACTTCAGCTCAGCCCACCAAGCCTCTGCCTCTACAGCCCCCTGGTGGCACCACCCCTGGTACCACCCCCCTCTAGTCCAACATGACTCAGTTGAACACTTCGTGCACCAGCCTGGAACCATACTCCTGGTACAGGGCCCGGGTCATCCAGTGGCGTTGGAAGGAGTGCAATGAGGCCACCATGGAGCCACCTGTCCACACTGCTGTGCCACGCCCAGGCTTGGCCACCAGGCACGGCTGCAACGCCCCATAGCCATGCCGCTGGCACTGGGCTTCCAGCTCCATCTTCAGGCGCTCAGTGAAGCCAGGGAAAAGCGTGGAGCCACCAGCCAGCACCACGGTGTCAGCCAGCCGTGTCCTTAGTGTTGCAGGCACCCTTTGCAGTGCCTGGAAGGCCAGTGTGGGCAGTCCTGGCTCAGACTGGCCTAGCAGACTAGGCCGGAAGATGGGTTCCGGACAGCAGAATCGCTCGCTGCTGAGACAGACAGAGCACCTATTGCCTAAGTAGAAACTGGCCGGATGGTGGCGGGCAGGGTTATGGAGGTCACCCTCAAAGTCCAGCGACACATAGCAGCAGCGCTTCTTGAGCTGTGTGATGGCCTTTCGGGGCAGGGTCTGCAGCAGTAGATTGGGGCACGCTGCCACCAGCAGGTCCCGCAGGTAGCGCGACAGGGTGGTGCCTGCCACATCCAGCCGGAAGGTGGCCTTTTGCCACGAGTGGCCTGCATAGATGGGCGTGGCATGGCACACGCCTGCACCCGCCTCCACCGCCAGCCCGCTGAACGCGCCGGTGGAGCAGAGTGCCAACAACGCAGTGCTGGCCATATGGCACGCAGGCACTTGCAGGGCCTCGAAGAGCAGCTCAGCCACCCTCTCGCGGCTCGAGGGTGGCGCCGATGGCGAGTCGCTCACCAGTATGGGCCACTGCTCTGGGCACACCCGCAGGCCGCCTACCAGCAAGCGCTCCCACAGGCCCTCTAGCGCTTCCCAGTCCACCACCACACCGTGCTTGATGGGATGCGCCCGCGCCACGCCGCCCGCCAGCTCGCAGCCTGGTGCCCCAGGTAGCACGGGCCGATCCCAGCTGGGCACCAGGCTGGAGCTCTTCAGCACCAGGCGTGGCTGGTCCTCGCCCGCGAAGCCCGCTTTGGTGAAGCCGGATCCTTGATCCACCACCACCGCGAGGCGGCTCAGTGAGGGCGGCTTGCAGACCCTGCGGCTCCCCGACGCTGACGCCACCTTCAGGGCTTGGGCCCGCCCCGCGAGGCTTCGTGGCACCCAGGCCGGAGGCTCCATCCCAGCTGACCTAGATAGAAGCCCGCCTTTCAGTTCTTGGCTCTGCCCCTTGGGCCTGAATCCCTGCTTTGATGGACTAGATGACGTTCTCAATTCTTGGTTCTGCCCTCTGGTCTTGAGGTTCCGTCCTTCTGGCCAGAGTGGATGTCTCTTTTTAGCTCTTGGCTCCAACCCCAAGACCTGAGGACCGGCCTCTGGTTCAAGTGTCAGTCTCCGCTCCCACGGTTACTGGTGCACCTCTGGCACTAGGCCCCACCCTCTCTCTGAGCCCCCTCAGCCCTCATAGAGGTGAATGAGAGGGGCCAAGCCAAATCCGTTTAGATACTAAGAAGCCTCCAAGGAGCAGCTTTGAGAACGAAGGGGCCTTGAGGCAATGTCATCCCGCAATATATCCCCCTTTGGGGATCCTGGAATCCAGCCCAGTGCTTAAGCCCCAGGCAGCATCTTGGACCTCTCACCTGGGCTTGGCCTAAGGTAGTTTCTGGTTGTGGATGTAGGAGAGGGTGGTCAGAGAATGCAGGAAAAGAACTTGGACTCATTGTGACCTCAGTCCACAGCACTTGCTGTGCTTCCGCAGCACTCTGCCCGGATGAAGACTCCCTGGACTCATCCTCTCTCCTGAGGCAGGGTCAAGGGCAGTGATTTGGGCAATCGGGTCTGGCTTCCACTTCCCAGTACAACCAATCTGATTCTTTCCCCAAATGACTTTGGATTATCTGATGTACTCTGGCCAAATGTGGGGCTCCTCCCCTCTCAATGCTGAAGACAAAAGCTCATAATCACAGATTTAGAGCCACTCTGAGGATCTGTGTGCTTAGCCTTGAGGGGCCCAGGCAGCCCACAGAGGGACCACACCTATGGGCTCATGTGCATCTGAGTTTGGATGCAATTCTGAAGCTGACTCACTGTGCACCCCTAAGCAATTCCTAATCTCTTCCTGGGCTCTTTTTTGTTTTTCCTTCTCCAAAAGGTAGTAATCTTCACACACAAGAAAGAGGCCACTTCTGGTCTTTGCAGAGTCTTGTTATTCTCTTTAGGACCATTTTGGTTGCAAATTGAAGACCCACTCAGGTGAGCTTAAGCTAAAATAGGGATTTTATTACATGGATCTTGAATGTCTTGTGGATACCAAGGGTAAGGGTGATGATTGCTGGGCTGTGGGGAACCCAGGATATGCACTCGCTGTACACTGTATTTTTATTCTGAAGACTGACTTCAGCTTGTGCATGTGCGTGTAGAAAATAGTCTTATAGCTCCTGAATTACAGTCCCAGCGGAGGGGCCAATAGGACCAGATTGGGCCAATGGCTTATCACCAGGAGGTGCGGCCACAGTGAGAAACATGGTTACACTGATTGTAACCAAGTGAATGGTATGGCAGGGTCAGTTCTTATAGGCAGCAAGAGATGCTATGGGTCATGCAACCTCCAGCCTGATGCAGGTGATGTGGAGGAGATGTTATGTTGACAGTGACAAAACTGCATCTTCAGCAGAAGCTGGGCTTGTGGCTTTAATGAGCTGGGACCTTCACCTGCTGCATCTACTCCCCAAGGGGTCATTCTAAGGTTGGTCTCCCGTGGGAAACAAGCTGGAAGGCCTGGGGAGGCTCTAGGGTTTGGAGCTGGGTTTGGGACCTGAGAGTGAAAAGCAGCAGATGCCCACAGAAAATGTGCTGGGCCTCTCATGGGTGAACTGGGGAGGTGAGCCTCAAGTTGGAGACTACAAGTGGCAATATGACCAGAGCAGGAGTGAGGTGGAACTCACTGAGAAGCCCTAGAGGGTAAGACTGAGGCTGGGGGGCGGGGCTTGTACATTGCAGTAATAGGTTTGGGCATTTCCCTACGGGCAATGGAGAACCAGTGAGCAGAGTGAACTGCCCTACAGAGAAGTGGTTTGGAAGAAGCCTTTGGCTGCAGTGTGGGGAGGGGGATGGGACAGGGTAGGTTGGGAGACAAGTGACTGAGGTGCCTTGGGGCTTACCAACCAGAGTGGGGTAGGAATGAGAGCAGGGTCAGAGGCCCAGGGACCCCAGCCTCTCCTGGGTGCTCTCACATGCAGAATGTTAGTCTCAAGCCCCGATCCTGCTGACGGTAGGACTCTTGCAGTTCTCCAAGGTGGTGGCTGTTTGCCTGGGACCCTCCCTCTACCTAAGAAGGACTTGTGAAGGCTGGGGACTCTTGGAGATGCCATGCTTCTGCTGGAAGCAGGCCCCTCCTAGCGTGGTCAAGCCTGGCTTTGCCCAAGCTCACCTCCCTTGGGCTTGCAGACCTGGCAGGGTCTGACCTGGGCCTGGAATTGGGATGGGGAACAGCCTCCTTCCTCCGGTGTGGCAGGGTTCCCCGAGCTTGGGTCACAGGAGAAGGCAAAGCCAGCCTTGGCTCCAGACCATGGCCTTGCTCTGTCCTCAATTCGCCTGTTCATCCCTGTCTTGCTCTTGCACCGCAATGCCTCAGATAGAGCTAGCAGGCGCTGGGGTTGCTATGCACTCTTTATTGGGCCGGGGCCGAGGGGCTGGGCCAGGCGTTCAGGGCCGCGGGCGAGGACAGCGGCACCGGTTGCGAGGCTGCTCCTCGGCGGCGAGGTCAGCCTCGCTGTGGGTCTCGCTTTCGGTCACCAGGCGCTTATAGAGTCGCTGCCAGCCCTGCGCGGCCTTGGCTCCGCCTCCTGCTCCGGCCCCGCCCGCCGCGCAGTGCCCCTCCTCCTGCAGTCGCGAGTCCAGCAACAACAGCAGAACCAGAATCTTCTTCATCTCTCTCTCGCGCGCGCTGTCGTGCCGCTCTGCGCCGTCACCTGCTCCTCTCATCATGGGTGTCACCCCCGGGGAACCCCCCTGGGCGCCCGTCGCGTCCTCGCTCGGCCGCCTGGGTGGCACGCCCGGGCCCTCCGCCACCTCGACTCGCTGCTGCCGCTTGTCCAGGGGAAACAGCAGCACGATCTTGGTCTGGGAGTAGGACAGCAGCGTGAGGGGAAACAGCGTGCCCCACCTTCCTCCCGGGAAACCTCACCCACCCTAGCCTATCTCCCAAGACTGCCCTCTCTACGTCTCCGTGACTTCTGCCATCCTACCATGCCCAAGAAGAGGATTCCCACCCTGCCCCATCCCCAGGGAAGCCCGCCTCCCGTGGAAACCCTCACCCAACTTAGGCTGACCTCCTGGGACCTCGCTCTGTCCACGTTTATGGGATCCCTGCCTGTCCTCCCAGCCTTGATGCTGGGACCCTCACCCACCCTGGTCCTGGTCCAGGGCCTCTGCCCACTTAAAGAGGGGGGAAAGTAGCATGCTTTGAGGCTGGGGACTCTAAAGGGGCATAAGGGAACTCCTGGTGCCCATAGCCCCAGTGATACCAACCAGGGCTGATTCCCCATGCTGGGACCTTCACTCATCCATCTGGGTTGTGAGAATCCCTTCCTGCCCACCCTCCTGACTCCTAGGTCTCATTCACCTCCTGGTTTCTGGAATCCTTCCTCTCCCTTCTGGGCTTTTAGGACCCCATCCACGCCCAGGTGTGTTCCTAGGACCCTCATCCTCAGGAGTTCCCTAATGCCTTCATCCATGTCCCCAGGACTTCTGCCCACAAGACCTAGACTCCCAGGATCCTCTCCTGCCCACCTGTCCAGATTCCCCTTATCCCTACCTACCCCTCACCCCCTGGCACTCACGTTTGGCTTCTGCTTCAGGTGGCTGAAGAACTGTTTTCCTCTGGCCTTGTCCATATCAGGTGGCCTCTCCTTGACAGCCTGCTTGGGCACTTGGGTCCTCTTGCGGGAACTGTTGTTTCCCATGGCAGGGCTAGTCAACACTGGGGTCCACTGCCCATGCTGCTTTGCCCTGCCCTCTGGCCAGGGGCCTCCTCCCCTGGCATTGTCCTGGGGAGGCCACATTGTGACCTCATGGATTGACCTCATCAGCTCCAGGTTCTGAGCTCCTCCTCCCAGAACCCACAGACAAATCTTGGCTCCATTCACTCTGTGACTTCTGGCCTTGGTTTCTCAGCTGTAAAAAGAGGCTAGTGATCATAAATGAGGCGATACTTGTAAGGTGCTTAGTGATGAATAGAGGGATTCCTGTGGCCTGGGTTTGAATCGTGGCTCTGCCACTAACTAGTTGTGTGACCTTGGCCAAGGTAATCAACTGCTCTAGGCCTCATTCTTCTTATCTACAAAATGGGGTCAATTATGGTTCCTGTAAGTTGTTATGAGGATTAAATGAAATTCTGCGTGGAAAAGGGCCTGGCATCGAGTGGGTGCTTGTGTCAGCCGGGTTCTTTGGTTGTAAGCAATAGAAACGGATAAATCATCTTAAGTACCCAAAAGGGTACTTAAGGATTTTAGAGAGCTCAGAGCATAGCCAGGAAGTCTGGGGTAGAAGTGTAGAGACTGGACAGAAACCCCTGGCATATTTGAGAATGAGAGGACACAGCTTCCCTTCTGTCCTTGCCTCCCAGTTCATAAGCCATCTGATGGCTGAACCGAGGAAGGTCATGGGCAGGTGACAAAGCCCTTGATGGATGGTGCTTCTGAGGCCCCTTGTAGAGGGAGGGCAGGCACCTGGATCATGGCTCCTGAGGGCCTGGCATGTGGTTGGCCTCTGTCTCTCTGCCCATCTTGCGAGGGGTTGGGGGAGGCTGGTGATATAGGTTGGGCTCCGTGCTGGTGTGTGCGTGTGTCTGCAGTGCCTGCTCTTGGGTTGTCAGAAAAGTCATGATGCATTTTTGCAACAAAAAACATAGAAAAAATACGTCATGACTTTTCCGACAGCCCAATAGTAAAAGAAGCTCAGTAAATGTTTGTTGCATGGACGAGTGAATTAATGAATGCATGCATATATAGACGTGGCCAGCTTGTGGGTATGGGGCCACATCACATCATCATTTTGCCGTGGGTGTCAACATTGGTCTTTGGATGTCCTGTGACCTCCCCCACTCCCACCCCCCACCAGTCTAACTGTCAGGGGTCTCACTGACTGAAGGTTGTGACCCCAATGTGGAAGGGGTCTTGGGACCCAGAGAATGGCAGATGCCTTTCTGTAAGTTGACCTCATACTTCCCAGGAAGGGAGGCCAGGCCCTGTTCCCAGTTCCTCTGTCTTCCTGCTTATGCCGGATCTGCAGGCCCTCTGCTCCTTATACTGTCACTGTTGCTCTGATGGACAGGGGTTGGGGGAGCAGGGGAATGGCTCCCCATTCAGAAACAGATGCTTGGGGCCAAGAGATGCTGACTATGCCGTTTCTGCCCCCAGGAGTATGAGCAGGCCTCCAAGGTGGACCAGTTTGTGACACGCTTCCTATTGCGGGAGACAGTTAGCCAGCTACAAGCCCTACAGAGCTCGTTGGAGGGGGCATCAGACACCCTGGAGACCCAGGCCCGTGGCCCACGGTATGTGAGGAGCCTTGGCAACCTGCAGGTCCAGTTCATGAATGCTCATTATTTCCACATTCCAAGTCCCTCAGCTTTTATCACATTCTGTAGTTTCAGCAGCCTGGAGCCCAAATTCTTGTTCTGGGGATGGGAGGCCAAGAAGGGCTGAGAGGGTAGCTGGCTTTGAGACTGGGACCTCAATGTCCCAGGAAGCCTGTCTTGCCCCATCCTGGCCTGACCCTTTTCCGGGGCCCAGTCCTTGGACTGTGGGTCTGCCAGCAGTGGACAGACCCTCTACTTCCCTTAGGTCAGATGAAGAGAGAGTGGAGGTGCAGAGCAGGCCCCATGGCAGCCGGCGGGCAGGGCGCAGGGCCTCGCGGAGCGTCAGTTGTTCACCCACCTGGTCTCTTGGCTCCTCTGACACAGGTGTGCCTGTGGTGGGGTGGGGGGGCTGAGGAGGGTCCAGAGCAGGCACAGCATTCCCCAGTGCCCCCGATGCCTGCTCCTGCATTGCCCCTCAGTTCATCCTGAGAGACCTCCCAGCCTGACTTCCTCCCAATGGCCCCCATCCCCAGGGCGGAGCTCAGAGGCTGAGATGCAGTGGCGGCTCCAGGTCAACCGCCTCCAGGAGCTCATCGACCAGCTCGAATGCAAGGTGAGTGTGGCCAGTGCCCCATGGGACAGACCTTCCTGGAACCTGCCCACAACAGGCACATGTGGGGAGCCTGGCCCACACGCTGTGTCCCTCACAGGCCCCTCGGCTGGAACCCCTGCACGAAGAGGACCTTACCAAGGGGCCTGACTCGGTGAGTCTGGGAGAGGCACAGGCAGCTAGGTATCGGGTTAGGAGGTGCTCACGCATGAAGTGAGGGGGTTCAAAGGGCCAGCTACCCACCTGGCCTCTGCCTTGCTCACACACCTCCTTTCCCAGCTCTGGCCCAGCCTTCATCCCCCAGGCCTGGCAACAGGTGCTGGGTTCTGGTCCTTGCTCTGTGACTCTGCAGAAATCACTGCCCCTCTCTGGGCATCGGTTTCCCTCATCTGCATTTCTGAAAGCTGGGTCTGGGCTAGGGTAGACGGAGGCTGGAGGGGACAGTAAGAAGTGGTAACAGACTGCAGGAGAGAGGGACAGTGACTGGATCAAGGCAGCGACCTTGCCGTTGGGAAGAGGCAGATAGAGTCAGGGATGTTGAGGGGCCACGTTGGGGCAGGAGCTCGACCTCAGGGTAGGCCGGGTCGGGTACAAGTCAAGCAGGGCGGGGTCCTCCTGGAAGCCACAGCCAGTCCCTCACCCATGTCCTGCCCTACCCCAGCTGACTGGGCTCCCTCTCTTGCCAGCACATCCTTGTGGCCCAGAGGCAGGTGCAGGTGGAAGAGGAAGCCCTGCAGGACTTCCACCGTGCCCTGTGCTGCTACATGGAATTCACCGGGGCCCAGAGCCACTGCCTGCAGTGAGTCCCTAGCTGCCTGGTGGGTTGGCCGAGGTGGGGGGATGAGCGTCCTGGGCCAGGGCTCCTACCAGATACCCCTGGCTGGGTGGGCAGTGGTGGCAGCAGGCCTGGCCTGGCCATCTCTTTGTCCTCACAGTGTGTCTGCCCAGAAGATGCTGGACAAGGCCTCCTTCACCCTGTACGAGTTTTGGCAGGATGAAGACTCCTGGAGAAGGTATGAGAATGGTGGTCTAACAGCTAATGTTTATTGAGTATAGGCCCTGCAGTGAGTCAGGCCTCGGTTCAAATTATCCCCTCCTACTCGTTGGCCATGTGACCTCAGCAGAGTTGCCTAACTCCCTCTGAGCTCCAGTGGCCTCCTTTCCAAACTGGGAATAACAGCTCGACCCTCGTATAAGCTAAATGAAATGATATGTAAAAAACTGAACATGGTGCCACACCCTATGCCAAGCACCTGTGTGTTAACTTCACGGTATCCCAGTACAGTAGACACTATTGTCCCATTTCACAGAGGAGAAAACAGGCACAGAGCCAGCACGAGGAAGGCCTGGGATCTGAATCCAGGCAGCAGGACTGGGGTGGGAGTGGGGAGCTCGTAACCAGGTGGTCTTGATCTTCAGGGGACGAGCTTGAGCCTCAGTCCCCCCTCTGCCCTCCCCAGGCACCAGCAGTCCTCCTGCAGTAAGACCTTCCAGCGCATACTCACCAACCACCTGCGGGCTCCAGACACCCTCACCACTGTGTTCTTCCCAGGTGTGCTGCAGCCCCGACCCTCCCCGTAGCCCTGGGACCTGGAGAGGGGCAGTGGGCCCCTGATGGCCTCTAACACCCAACCTCTGACCCCCAGCCTCCTGGTGGATTATGAATAATAACTGAGCTTGACCTGTATTCGCTAAGGACCCTGGGGCCCTGCCTGCCTCCTGGAGCTTCTGGACTAGTCAATTCAGCACCAAGACCAAGGACGTTGCTGCTCCTAGACCCGGGGCCTGGCTGTCAGAGGCCTCCCAGACCAGCTGGTGGAGTCTCTCAGCCCAGGGATCAGGGACTGGGCTGCTTGCTTTCTGTTTCTTTAGTTATCAGTGTCTTTTATTGTTTGTAGCTTTGGTTTCTGAGGCACTCTGGCCTCTGCCTGGCTCAGGAGGCCTGGATTCTGGTCTCCTCTGCCCCTGCCTTGCTGTGTGATCCAGGGCCGATCCCGTCCCTCTCTTGGTGGGCCTTGGGCTGTCTGGCTGCCTAGTGGGTGCCCTGCTTTCTTCTTGCTGTCTTGGGGCCAGGCTTCTGCTCTTCCTTAACCAACAGCAGAACCAGGGCTGATGCTCAGGGACCCCCACCCCCCCACCCTTACCCTCGACCTCTGAGGCTGGGCTGGACCCATCTGCAGTGTGGGGTAAGGACTTGGGTGTCCCTGTCACCCTCCTGGGCTGGCAGGCTTCGGACTCGTCCTATACCCGTGGCTGCACCAGAGACATCTGGAAGATCCTGGGTTGGTTTGCATGTCATTTGCATATCATTCGCATGTCCATGCCCACCCATACTCAGGACATTATGGGAAGCCCCAAGGTGACCTTGCCAAGTAGCAATAATTTGGGTCTAAGAGTCACCTGCTACCCCAGATAACCTCTGAACCTCAGCCCGGGACCCCAGCACAAAGACAATAAAGGCAGTGGTCACCTCTGGTGTCATGTTCTCTTTCTCACTGGCCAAGAAAGCCAGGCCGTGGCGCAGGTTTGCATCTCGGACCACAGACTCAAGGGCAGGAAGCCTTTTCTTCAGAAATCAACCAGTTCCCATCTCGAGCCCCCTGCCTGGAGATAGTGGGAACTTCATCATCCCCCCAAAACCCTAGTTCTGGGGTCTTGCCTGGGAAAGGGGAGTGGATATGGTCTCTGCCATCAATACCTCCAAAGTTGGCTTGGGGTTCTAGTTTCACGCCCCCCACCACCATGCCAATGGGGTGTGCACAGAGCCTTCTCAGGATCCCAGATAGCGTGGCTGGGTTGTGTGAGAAGATGTGTCCCCAGACAGAACCATCCCCTCTGCCCTGCCTCACCTCCTTCCAGACCACCCTGCCATCTGACATGGAGTAGTTCTGGGACAGCAATGGCCTGTCCAGCCACTATGGGACCCTCCTTCGAGCCATTTGTGGGGAAGGGACGGGGCATCAAGGGAGGTGACTGACACGAACAAGGGCTCTAAAGGTGAGGCACATAGCACCACAAGAGCACAGGATGGCCTCTGGCCTGGTCTGGAGGGTGTTGGGGTCAGGAGCTTTCAGGCTCTGAGGGGGAGGAGACCTTGGCATTGAACTGAGGGAAGCCCAGCAGTGGGCTGAGGCCACGGCGGGGAGGCTGCAGAGCCGTGGAGGCACTTATCCTGAGGAAGCTGTGGTGGGTTTTAAGCCAGGGGTGACTAGTGGGCTGAGTGACATTTCACCAATGTTGCTGTAAGCCCTGGTGGTGCCAGGTCCTTGCTGGCCCTGGGGCATGGCCAGGAAGATAGATGTAGCAGCTCAGGGTGAACAGCCTCGTCTGGGACTCCAGGCAGGTCTTCCCTGAGGTTTTCCCCCAGTGATCCCTGCAGAACTTCGGACTTGCAGGGTCACACAGAGTTGCTCCTACCGGCCTGGCTTCCCAGGCCAAAAAACCAGCACAGGGCTCCCTGGTGGCTCCTTGGCCCGCACTATGCCAGGCTGCCCTCCTACCACCCCACTTCCCAGACTCCTAGCAGTTCCTGTAAAGTCCTGCCAGCACCTGAGCCATACAGGTCTGGGAGGGCTCCAGGAGGTTTCAGTGTCTGTCCTTGTTCAAGAAGCCCATCCAGGACGAAATAATTGTGTTTTCTGTCTTGTGCTCTAATTCCTTCTGCTTCTTCCATAAAAACAGCAGCAACAAACTCTCAAAAAATGAAAACCTTCCCACTGCCACCCCTGCTCATACAGGAATGCCCCCTTAGCCTGTAAGTGGTGGGTCAAATCCATCAGGTCTGGGTCACTTTTCCCAATCCTTGCCCTCACTACCCTGCTCTTGGAGGCTCTTCAGCTCATATCAGCAGCCACTGGGCACTTGCTTTGTGGCAGATGCTGGGGATGGTGAAATGTCCCGGGATGGTGACAGTGCCCAGGTCAAGGGCAGGCAGAGTACTAAAGCTGGGACAGCTCCCGGATCCTTCCGCCAGCTGCCGCTCCCCACCCTTTCACCCACTCCACGCACCTGCCCTCACCTTCCTCCCACCTGTGCCCGTGACTCACCTGCACACACTGTCCTGGGGAGTGGCCCGGTGCCAGGCCAGGTGCTAGAGAGACAGCAACAGTCGAGGTGGCTGCCATTAGCCTCCAGCTCTCAATAGGAAACACATGCATAGCAAGTGCCCTTGACGCAGATGCTGATGGGGCATAACAAAGGGAATGAGAATTAGGGGAGCCTCCTTCACGAAGTTACTCTCAAAGCAAATACTACTTGAGTAAGACGCCAGGCTCCAGGCAGGAAGCCGGGACAAAGATGAATCCTCAGGGAAATTGCATAGTGGCAGAGAGAGAAGCAGGTTGTGATGGCGGCCTCTGTTTGCAGAGGCTTCCTGGGTGCGAGGCTCTGTGCTAGGGTGACTGCCAGATGATCACAACAACCCAGTGGTACAGGCACCATTAGCCTCTCCAATTTAGAGATGAAGAAACAGAAGCTCAGTGAGCAAGTACCTTTCTCTGGGCCACACAGCTGGATCTATTCCCTGGTACCAATAGGTATTTACTGTCAAGAATGAACAGTGCTGAAGGAGACCTCGGGTATCCTCTGGTAACAGAAACCAGCTCAGGGTTGGGGGACAGTGGCAGCTATTAAAAAAGGAGTGAGACCAAGCTTCGGGGCTGCAAGATGGCAGATGGGGCGGCAAGGAAAAGCCATGGGAGCACAGCAGGAGATGGAGGGTGGTTCTGGTGTGGGCTATCCAGGGCTCAGCCCTGGGAAGGTAGGTGGTGGTGGGGCCAACGCCTGATCATTTCTGGAACTTCCTAGGAGGCACCCAGAGAACGTTAGATGAACTCATGGGGCAGAAAATGTTGGTACAGAGGGGAAGGCAAAAGTTGAGGGGTGTGCGCGCCTTGGATAGGAATCCGGCTTGTGGATGGAGGCGGCCAAGGTAGCAAGTCTGGCTATGTCCACAAGAGGGCGCGCAGCACCAGGCAATGAAGCCATCCTGGGGAATGGGGCGGGGTGGTTTGTTGTTTGGTTTCCCCAACCCTTGAAAGGGAGAACTCTGGCTGAGGAAAGGATACATCCAACTCACCGCTCTGAAATTCCAGCAGTTACAAACACAGCTGGGCAAGATGGGTTCAGATCGATGAATGTTTGGTTATTCTGAGATTGTATCATCACCTCAAGCCAGTTATTTCCATATATATATATATATATATATATATATATATATATATATATATATATATATATATATAGGGTTTTTATTGGGGAGTTGGGGAAGGGGAACAGCATTGGAGAATCAGGGAAAGGAAACAGATAAGTTGCTGTCCTTTTTTTGTTCTTCAGTCTAGTTGTGGAGGATGTCGCTTCACTGGTCCATGTTGGTATTATCATTGCGCTCTTCCTGGGTAAGGCAATCGCTCGCCGGCCATTGGACTGCCAGTCACGGCAGCTCATGAAAGCTCATGCCAGATGCTGGCCAGCCCCGCTGCAGCCTACACCATTGCCGGCAACTCACCGTAGCCCAGCTCCAGGTCGAGCTGTTGTTCACCATCTTAGCTGTAGAGGGCGCAACGTCACTGGCCCTCAATGTGGGATCGAAACGGGCCCTGCTGCTCAGAGCTGGCATCTCAAGCCAACTCCTGACGAACGTACCACTCAGTCGGCCCATATTTCCCTTTATATTGCTAAACATGAGTCAACAGGCTCCTTGACTCCATCCATACTTGGTAAAATTTGGAAGGGCTCTCCTCTCATAACCTGCCTTCCAGAAAAAATAACCTATTTTCCACCTCTTTTTGTCTATGACAAAGAATCATATAGTAATGCTTCACTCATTTTCAGATTCATCGAATCTGTGGCTCAATATGCACTGCGTATTTATTTCAATGGTTGTCATTTCCAGAATTCTATTTTCAAATCTGCTTATTTTTACTTTTTGTTTAACAGTTTGATTGCTTTCCCCCTCCCAAATAGGGGCCACAGGAGGGCTGTCTGCCTAGTTATTTTTAGTCTTGTGCTGTTTGCTCCTTTTTTTCTAGAGGTTTCAGTTATTTTATATTCTATATCTGATAATAGTATCTGAAGCCCCAGGGGGTCTAAATCAATTGTTTATTGCTCCTACTGATTTGCTCATAGTGGCTCCTTTTCTTGGATGTTTAGTAATTTTTTTGGACCGTTTATAATTGGTTGAGATGCAATATTATTATTTTGATATTTTGCTCTAGAGAATTTGCAGTTTTGCTTCTGCCTGACACCAGGAGATACTACAAGCCTAGAACCATCTTAAATTCTCAGTCCAGGGATTCTTTGACCACTGGAGTAACGAAAATCTGAACCTCAGCCCCAGGAGAGAGCAGATGTAAGAGCACAGTCTCTGGTCAGATTTCTTTTTCTCTTTAAGCAGGGGCAAAGAGTGAAAGAGAGGTTTTCTGCTTGGTTCCCTTTGCAGACAGGCAGGTTTTCCCTGCTTGCCTTCTCACTGAGGCCACCATCAGTGACCTGGCTTCACAGAGAGGTCCCGGTTTTGTCTCTCCATCTTGTATAGGCTCAAAGCTTCGTCTCAGGTTCCCCTAGAGGCAGCTAATCCCTCAAACTGACTTCTCAGAATTTCTTTTGCTCCCAGGAAGCAGAGTTTCCTCTTTTGTATTCAACTACCTCTGTGATTTCAATTTACCCATTTCCCCCTGGCTCTTGGGGATTTCCTACACTTTCTCACCTGTGACCTCAGCAGTGTAGTTACAAGCACCTTCATTACAATTTATCCGGCATTTGGGTATTTTATGGTAATGGCTAATTTTTCAGTCTGCCACTCCTATAGAAATCTAACACAGTACTTGACTATATTATTACTCGAGTCCCTGGGATCCTTTCCCCACCGAGCTAAGGCAGGCTGTGGATTGCTGACTTGTCTACCAAACATGCGTTTTGTGCTAGGCTGAGTCACAAGGCTGAGATCCTGTGGTCCTTCTAAACGGTGGAGTGCGGCACTGGGCAGCTGTGGAAAGACTGGCAGTTGGCACCATGTGTGTGGAAGACCACATGGCTAACCCTCATCTTGCCTTCTGGGGCCAAGGCCACGGCCCCGCCCTTCTCCTTACCCTGAGATCTAGAAACTACCCCCCTCCGTTTCCATTTGGGGGGCCTGTGAAGCTGACGGTACCAATAAGCCTCTCGGGGCGAGGCTGCTGAGGTCTAGGGCCGAGGCCAGAAATGGGTATTCAGGCACCAAGAGTGAGGCTGGGGCCAGAGCCCTCGGAAGTCAGGCCTCACTCAGGTCAATGGCTAGGAAACTGGACTGACAGCCCGACTCCATATACGCAGGTGTGCACAGGTGTGCTTGCACCAAACTGTGTCATGTCACAGCTGCTTACACTCCCCCAGAGCTGTTAAAAGGACGACCTGGGGCTGCTGGAGGCACAGTCAGCTGGTGGGCTTTCAGGGAAAGCAGCCTGAATATACGCTTCAAAGGTCCACGAAATGGTCAGTTCTAGAAATCCCACTTTGGAAAATCACTCCCAATAAGGCAAGCGAAGGAAGATGTTCAGTTCAGTGTGCTGGAAGGGAAAATGTGAAAGCAACCCAACCCAACTGCCCATCAGAAGGTGAAGACCTAAGAGAATTATGGCCTCATTGAAATCTTACAACCATTAAGCAAATACATGTGTAGGCAACAGTGAACGTATCTACGCTTTAACGCCAGTTTAAAAAGGATATGAGTAAATATTCACAAGCCCAGGTATGTCAAAAAATTTTAAGGAAATATGTAAGTTATTAGAAAACAGTACCTACAAGTTCACTACCCTATTTTTCGAACTTTCCGTGGTTGCATTTTTCTTATTAAATTACTTAACGGTGAAGAGCTAACAAGGAATGGGAGTGTCTGTAAGCTGTTGCTGGCACTTGACTGTAGGCTCCCTGGGTGGGTCGGCAATAGCATGGGCACCAGTAGCCAGCCTGGTCGGACCCAGGCTCCTCAGCGGGCTCCAGAGGCCTGGCAGCTGGAACCTTCTCCTTAGTGGTACCCCCTGCTTTCACTCCCCCGGGTGTTCTTTAGGCCACAGCAAGGGGCATGGGCGGTCCCCCCTCTCCCAGATTCGGGAAGAGGGAGAGGCCTGCAGGGTGTCTCAGTGCACTCGCCACCTTCCCTCCCAGGCGCATTCCAGCTTGAGTCAAAAAAGGAATATAGCCTTTTTATTGACTACTTTAAGTAGAACAAACTAAATACATATTCAACAGTTTTGGTTCATTTATACAGTACATTAAATAAGTTATGCACAGAGTTAAGTAACAAAAGTTCCTATCAAAGAAATGACAACGCACAGAAAGATCAGACTACCGCATCCTGTGGGTGGTTTCACATTCATCATCCCCCTTTAAAAGCCACGCTTGGAGGCTTCGTTTTGGACTTATTTACATTATTGGCTTTCTTTTATAAATGGAGTTTTTGTAGCCTCATCAGGAACTTGGAAAGCTGCACCAGTGGACCAAAGACCTCTTGGCCAAACAGCACTTTCCACCATTCACCTAATGTTTATTGCTGCTTCTCTCTGCCAACTCCAATGCAGGGATGGAGCTGTCCCTGCCAGCCGCCAGCTGCACATGCCCTATTTGGTATAAGCATCAGTGAGGGTACACTGGGCAGTTGTGGGCCTGACCAGATGGGGTCTGCAGGGAAAGCGCCATCTGTGGGGCTGTGGAGGAGGAGGAGGGATGCGAGGTCCACCCTCAGACCTCCTGACCTTCTCCTGGCTCTCGATGGAAAAGGTCACCTGCACCATCATCTTTGGAAATGAGCAAGTCAATGCACGTGGGCAGAGGCAGGGAGTCAATGTTTTGGTTTCGTAAGAATTAGACACCCAGAGTTGGAAGGGCCCTGTCCAGCAGCTGCCCAGTTCGCCTCCCCACCCCAGGCAGCACTCCTCACAGCTGGCTGGCTGGCCCATGCTGGGACAGCCCAGGTCCCTCTGGCTTTTCTTACATTTGGTTCAAACATGCCACCACCCAGTTCTCTAAATAGCTTTAAAAAAAAAAATCTAAGAAAGTTGGCTTGGTCTACTGACCTGGGAGTCTAGAAACCAGTTCTGAAGAAAGCCTCCAAGATGTGTTCTATTTTAAATGATTTATTCAGTCCATAATTCCTTCCACAATTCCCAGGACAACCAACCACCCGGTCATTATTAATGCTTTTGTTCTCAAGAACCCACTACCATACAATTCCAATTGTGTTGTTGAGCCTTCAAATCCACTTGCTGAGATATTTTCTGGAACTACCCAGAACAAGGTCTACACCCTTTGCAAGCAAGTAACAGCACTGGGGATCAATTCGACTTTGGAACAAGGCCATACAAAGTAAAGTGTAGATTTTCTGTCTAGAAGCTAAAGATGCTCACATTGACACCAAGAAGTGAGGAGCTCCTGGTAGACCAAGCGGCCTGGATGGACTGAGGACATCAGTGTGCAGAGGGCACTCTGCAGCCCATCTGGACATGGACCCATGCTGGGTAGATGTGTCCTGTTTCCAAACTCAGATCCATGGAGACATTCATGACTCAGCACCGTCCAGGAAAAGATCCACTCGCTGTGACCTCAGGGCCGCACGATCCCTGGAGCTGCAGAGACCCTCCAAAGTGGAGTGTTCACACCTTATTAGGTGGGCTGGCTATTCATGTACAGGCAGGATGAACCAACTTCCTCAGTCAGTGTTCAGACATGCTGCAGGCAGCGGGGACCCAGAGGATGATTGAAGGTATGAGGATCCTGCCCTCAAGCATCGTTTGGAACATGGAACATTTAGACGGCTCCCATATTGGCCACTTTTGGTCTTCTCTGGTTCCTGCAACCATTCCTCACCAGGCAGAAGACAATGATATCCTGTCACTTGTCAGTGTCCCTCAGTGGGCGATGCTGATGGTTGGGCAGGCATTTCCACATTTTTGCTTTTGGTTTCTAGGGTAATGTCGAAGAGCCTGTGAGTACCCTGACAGCACCTTTGGTACCACCACTCTGAGCCCCTTTGTCTTGTCCTCCCAAATATTAAAGGTTGGTCCTCTGTGCAGCCTGATTATATTATTTAAAATCCAGCAAAACTGGGAAGGCTGAACTTGCACCCCCAACCTGGTAGCTGGGGTGGTATCAGCAGTAATAGGAAACCAAGTGGGGAACCCAGACTCACCCCTTCCTCTCCAGCCCCCTCACCCCACCCCACTGCCCCTCCTCCTCCCGACCAGGGAGCTGGAGAATTTCAGAAAGGAGGAGTTAGAGAAAGGGACTCTTCCGTCTAAACAGGAAGTCCTGGGCAGATGACCTTGGAACCTATGTGTGAAACTGACCAAAATTAAAACAGCAAGAGGTTTGAGAACTAATTCCAGCATGGAACACTGCCCAGGGTTTCAGCTTGGCCTCTGGGTAGACATGAGCAAAGCGTTACAAAAACTAAGCTGTCATTGGAATCATAGCCCGCTAAACCTAAATCTTAGCTTAAGAAACTGATATCGAGCCCTGATGAATAGTATTTTGTTGGTTTTGGGTCTTTATCCCAACCAGGAAAAATGTGAGCTACCCTGGCCAGCCTGTGGCCAATACAGATTTAAAGAACCTGCCTAGGTGTGCAGCCGACTTGCTGATGAAAAGACAGTGAGCTGAGGACACACCCAGTGGACACCACGAGACACCCTCTTGCTAAAAATGATTTATAGGCTCCATGACATCCTTATGGGACATCCCACGTCTTATGGAAACGTAGGCAAGTCCTGTCTGGGGTGCTCATTTCATCCTTGTTAAAATCAGGACACCCCCACCGACTGTTGCAGCTTAAGAAGTTCCACAATAAAGTAACACTATTCTGCTATTCCTTCTCTGGGTATATTTATGCAATGGAAATAGAGGTATTTTAAAGGTGCCTTGTACTGAGTTCCTTTGTCAGATAGGAAATCCTTGGGCGAGGTAAATCAGGGGCTAGAAGTTCTTAAAGTAAAATACTTTACAAATACACCAAATGCAAGGTCAAAGCTACCTATGCTGATCGCTTTTCCTTTATGGGACCGAGAGCTTTGCCTCCGCTCTGGTCAGCGCACAGAAGGTGGCCATCTAAAGCTGGGCTTTCAAGCGCCAGCAGAGGCAGGTCAACCAACTCTCCCCAACTGATTCCTCCAGGTAGGATGGTGCTGGAGGTTCAGGGGTGGAGACTAGAAGTTCAGGGTCTTTGGGCTCCCAACAAAACTCGAATGGCAGGGGAACATGTGTGTGGCAGCTCTTAGGACTTTAACATGGGTTTAGGTAACTTCATGTTTGGAAAGCCAGGTAAGCAGCTGGAAAAGTCCCTGAAGACAGGAAGAAAAACTGGTCAGGCTCTCTCAAAATGGTTCTCACCCTTCACGAAACTTTTCTTAGCTCAAAGAAGGTAGGTATCAAACAAAAGAGAAAGAAATCTGACAGTGTATGCCTGATGCTAAACTGACATAGTATGTATGACATGAAACCACGAGGTCTGAAGAATTCTTTCAGGTCTAGGAGGGCTGCTCAGACGTGACCAGGCCCTGACCGGAGAGGCAAGTCCTAGTCACATCATGTCATATCCTCTGGGACAACTGTGGTCTAAGAGGCGCCAAACAGAGACCACGGGAAGAAGATCCACAGTGATCTGGACACGCGCGGTCTGAGATAAAAGGACACAGAACACGACTGTACAAACAGCCAAGCGGTGACAAAAGGTTCTGCATTTCCAATAGGTGATCCATTCAGTAACTTGACGATACTAGTTTGGCCAACATGCTCAGAGAGAACAGACTATCCACAATCGAGTCTCATTCTCCCTCAGACCAATCCATGCGCTGGGAACTATTTTCTGCACGAGCAAAAATCAAATAAGAGAGAGAAAAATAGGTCCCCAACTATAAAGTAGCCAGCCAGGTTGGAAAATCTTGTCCAAAATGATCTGTGATACTTGGTAAAAGTTTTACTTATTTTTTTTTATTATGGGTGCTTTTACTGAAATGGTGACTTCTTTCCCGTGGCTTCTGAATCTTAAGTCTGAACAGCAGGGTCAAGGAGGGTCCTGAGTGCTGCTTTTTGCTGCCCAAGTCCCATGGGGCCAATCAGTGGCATCTGCTGAGGGTGGAAATAGGGCTCAAGGAGCTGCTGGGGACGAGAGGGGCCACTCCCTGTGAGGGGGACCTCCTCCGTGGCCTGCTGTCAGCCTCCAGGCTTCTGTGCGGGAGGACAGTGGAGAAGGGACAGTGCACGGGGTGAGCTGCCTCCGGCCTGGCTGGGCACATTCGACAGTCTGCTGCCTCAAGAGGCAGGGAGGGGAGCTGGTGGTCTACACTGAAGAGGGGCCGGCCACGCCAGCTCCAGCTGGGAGAGGAACAAACCAGGAAGCCATAGAGGAGGCAGCTCCAGACAGCGGCCTGTGTGGAGAGGGAACGGCACACTAGCTCCCCCGGAACACAGGTGGGAAGCTGGGGCAAGTGTCTGGAGAGGCTGCGGAGCAGTGTTTGCTGGGCCTGCACTCTTCCTGCCTCCACTTCACTTCGTGCTGATGACCCAACAGCCAGGCCCGGGAGCAGTGTTTTGTGGTGCTGTGAGGTCATCAGGGGCAAGTGAGTCCAGGGCTCAGAGGCCGTTGGTGTCGATGGCTGTCACAGAGGCAGGTGTGGAGGAGCGCGAGGTGGTGGCCGAGGTCTTGTCCAGGGCCGGGCTTGGCACGCTGCAGTCGGCGGACCTGGCAGAGGAGCCCCTCCCTCCAGGAAGCAGTGGCCGACTCTGGCCATGGGGGCTCTGGCCGTGCAGGTTCTGGCCACAGAGGCGGTGGTGCCGCTCCCAGTCCTTGTGCTGGCAGAAAGAACCGCAGTACCGTGCGATATTGCAGCCACTGCAGGTCTCGCTGGCTTTGCGGCCACAGTTCCAGCAGTTCTGCAAGACACAGGCATCAGTTAGTTGCTTAGATCTTGTGGGGCAGGCTTGTCATCACCCGTCACCTGCACTGTACGCCAGGGGGCGCACTGTCTGGGGAGAGCGTGGGCTTGCAGCTACACATGCCTGTGCTTATCCTGCGCCTCTACTGGTACCTGCTTTCCAGAGTTTCCTGAGTAAAGTGGGAAAACTACCGACTCTGGCTGACGGGACAGCAAGATGAGGGGGGTGTGGAAACATGTCCAGCACCATCGCAGGGCAGGCCAAGTCGCACCTCCCGCTGAAAGCAGTGACTCGTATTTTAATCCCCGGGGAGCAAACCAGGGTTCCCCACGATAGCTATCTACTCTAAGACCACACATGCACGTGTGTTTTAGACAACATTGTCTCTCTTGCCTCTTCCAATGCAGGAAGGATCTTGATTATTTTCACTCATAACACCTGCCAGGAGACTGGGATGGCTGGACAGGAGTGTGGGGGGTGGTGTCCATCCTCCTTTCAGAGGTGTGCCTTGTCGTAGGTGGGCTGGGGATCGTGAGGATACTTCTGGCTTGTTTATGGGAGCCCCGCAGTAGCTCAGAGCTCAGGGCCTAGGAGGCCTAGGTCAGGGAATTTTATCGCTACTCACTGCACTTTCCTAGAGGGAGGGCAGGCAGTGCTAGGGTTTTGCAGAAACCATGGTGGGTGGGGGTGTAGCGCACTGGTTCAGAATGCACTAAGTCTAGATAGAAGTTATGAGCCACGTAAGGCGTGGTAAGAGCTAGAAGGAGCAGCCGTGAAAGCGGCAGAAACAGCTACTGGACTGTTGAGTTCATCCCCCAATGAACTAACAAGGAAGAGCAGCATCATGAAGGATGCGGCCACCAGCGCAGCTCCCGTGATGCCTCCACTAGTGACACATGAGTTTTTTTCTGCTCCCAAGGTCTCCAGACGCACTTATAAGAGGAAGCTTTATGGCATTGGCCAAGTGAAGCTATCAGAAAGGGGCAAGGCTTTCTTAGGCGTCAGGAAGGACATGAGCAGCTCCCGCCTCCCCAGGTTCTCCAGGATGGCAGAAGCCAATTGTGGGCCTGGTCTGACTATACCTTAGGGAAGACAGACACTACCCTCCATGAAATCAGGACACCTGCTCAAGAGAAAAACCAAAGACAACAAGTGGGCCTGGGCTCACCTCTTGCATTGTACAGATGGGACACTGAGGGCAAGTGGGTAGGAACTTGCCTAAGGTTATAAAATGATTACCTGGCTCTGCAAAGCCTGGACCCTGGACCTCATGGCTCCACTATACTCAAGGTACAAGTTTGGTTTTAAGGAGCATTAGAAAGGGCAGGCTGTGGGCGCCCTTCTAACAGCAGGCTTCTCAGGAGATAAACTCTGGGGAGGACTCAAACTTGCCCACACTAACACCAGAGGCCCAAAATAGGGAACAGAAGTAATTCTTAGGGTCCATTTACACGTGTTCAAGCAAACTACATTCCAGAGAATTTAATGCTTTGGAGTCTGACAGGCTGACTCCAAACAAGGCTTTGGCAGAACGGTACCACTCGTGGGGAGGAACACAGCGGTTGCCTAGACGGGGCTGCTGTGGAGACACAGGCCAACCGGTCCGCCCCATTTGGACAGCCTCTTCTCCCTCTGTCCAAGTCCGCAAGAACATCTCAAACTGGGGCAGAGCCTTTAGCCACGGGTACTTGCCTGCCATTATATTTAACATAGCTTATTTCATGATTTACGAGATACAATAAAACAAGATAAACAGCCTCCCACACAGGCAGGAATGGACACGCACGGACGATGTGGTAAGTGTCCAGAGTAGCCAGGGTGAAAAGGACACTGTTCTTTTCCTGGGACTTTTCCCGATTTAACCATGAGGCTTTTTGCCAAGATATAAGACCAAAAAAGTTTATTGCTGTAGTCGCCCTTCAAATCAACATTCCTCAAAGCTAGAGCAACACACTGGGCCCGACAGTCCTTTGCAGTCAATGGGAGAAGGTTATAAACCTTCTGAGTTACTGGCCAGGGAAGTCAGAAATGGGATTCCAGCATTTCCTTTGTTAAGCATGGGCCATCAGTAGATGCCAGTATTATTCCAAGTATGGCCCAAAGACCACCTGTATCAGAACTACCTGTGCTTAGCAAAATCTCTGGGACCCATTCCAGACCTCCCTGGCCTTACTGCAAACCTGGCCCAAAGGAGAAATGACTCTGCATCTTACAGTCACCTGCCAGCCCACTATGTCTGCCAAGAAAGCCAGGCTGGGACAGGTGCCTTGTGCTAGAGCTGAGGGGACCTCTCACGTCAGCCCTCCACCCGAGGTCTTACATGGGGGATGCTTGGGTCTGGCCCTCAGAGGAGGTGGCTGTTCTCCCAAAGCAAGAGTTGCCACAGCTTACAATGTACGTTGTTAAGCACATCACAAAATCCTTTTCGTCTGCACAGTGCCCTTAGTGTATTGCAGTTTAAAAACATGTCCACATCCACAATCAAATTTTATCTTCCTAGAAACTATGAGACCAGCAAGACAGGGGCTGCCACACACCGACTATCCAGGGATGGAAACTGACTCCGTAGGGTACACTGCCAGTGTAAGGGGCAACTGGTACTGGGACTTAGGGTTCTTAACCTTCTGCCCTGGGCTCCTTCCGTACACCGAGCCACCTCTCACAGGAAGAAACTCCAGGGATACCCCGCTAGCTTTCGAGTAGAATTTTCTGGATGAAACAGAGGTAGAGTAGCCCTAGCCTTCCTGGTCCATGCAAACTCACTCACAGCTTAGGCCCTGCTATCCCTCCTGTTTGGGAAAGAAAGTTCGCTGGGACGGATGCTGGTGTGAGCCTCACCTGCAGGCCACTTTATACATTGTTTAAAATTACAGCTCCTTAAAAGCAAATTCCTAGAAACGGAGAGCTGGAATTTAAACCATGCAGCCCAGACCCAGAACCCATGGTCTTAGCCAAAATGTTACACTCCTTCTTTGGAGAAAGGCACACAGTTAAATATAAACATAGATATAAAAGTAGATATATATGGACAAAAATTGATATTGATATGGACAGCTATAGACATAAAACAAAGTAGGAGGGAAGACAAGGGGAGGATTCAAAGAACTATTCCCTCACAATTCAGTGTCTTTGTTGGAGGGCTACAATAAGAAATTTCCCCACATTCTCGGTAATGCCCCATGATATGTACACATTTTCATCTCCACATTACCATGCCTGGTACCGCTATATTGAAAAGAATCATTTAAATAGACTGACAAAATAAACTTTCTGTTGTTTAAAAAAACAAACCAACAAAAATACTTCAGTTGTTTACAACTTCAAGAGAATGTCCCAAAGATAGCTAGTCTCTCAACTGGTAGACAGGATCTACCTACTTAGAGACAGACTTGTTTAGGACTTCAAGTTTATCTAAAAGCTGGAAAATTATGAAAATGAATGTTTTCATGGTACAAGATCATCCTGTTTCTCTTAGAAGCATCACCACGTACTGGGCCCTGGGTCTTGGAGAATTGGGCAGGTCTGCCTGATGTGTCACTTCAATCCATAACAAAACTAACCCTATTTACTATAAGCAGGCCGGATGCTACGGGGCCTACACTTCCTTACCCGGCACCCTGGCTTCAGCATTGTGGGATTATGTCAGTTAAATTCCCAAAGTCACAGTTTCCTCATTTGTAAAATCAGAATCCAAAAACACCTCCCTCACAGGGTCACATATTGTCCAAAAGACTATATATACCCTCAGCTCTGTGGCTGACACACAGTAAACAAGCCCATTAATCAATGGTGGTCATCATCATCATGCAATTACACTGTCTTTAGGGGGAGTTTTCAAAATTTAAACCAATATAATGAGTTAATATATACAAGAATATAATATAACTGAGGCACAAAACTACTGGTACTAGATACAAGTGATAATCGTCTAGTGTAAGAGTGGACGGTGTGCCTTACTGCCTAGCACTCGAGAAGGAAGAGGTGAGCTGGGTCACTCCAGCTGCCCCAGCCTGTGTCCCCAGGGATAACAGAGCTCTAACCTCCGTTGACTCTTCCTGCTCGTTTATGACGAGGAAGGCATCCTCGGCCGCCTGCCGTTTCACGTCCGCTATGGTTTGCTCCATCCGGGCTCTCTCTGTTGCAATCACTTCAAAGGCTTTTTGCTCTGCCTCGGCAACAGCTTTCTGTACTTCTGACATGGCCTGAATTTTCACCTTATTCACAGCTTCTTCTAGAAGAAAGCGACAATAAAATCAACTGGTCGAGAAATCTTTTCCCTCCCACCCCACATCGTTTCTAGGGACAGAGCTCAAACAAGAAGACTCTTTTCTAAAAACAAGCAAAGATAAACATATGATATATGCGTTCATTTTTACTATTGTATTCAGCCATCCATTCATGCAATCATTTGTTGGGTGTGTAGATGGAGGTGGGCACTGGGCTAGGGACCGGGGACACCTAGGTGGCTAAGAGGTAGTCCATGTTCTCGTAACTGCCATGAAGTACAAAAGGTGGCTTAGGTACCAAAACACATGTCAGTATCAGAGACAGTTCCAGGGGAAAAGTGGTCAGGCCTACAAGTGGCAGGGAAGGATCAAGAAAATGTATCTTGGTTGAGATGGTAGATGGAAATGAATTTTTGGAAAGTCTTGCATCCCATGCTGAGGAATTTGGCTCCTTTTCTAAAGAAAACGTGAACCTTCTTTGCAAGGAGAAGAGATTGAAGACAGAGATACCAGCTGAGCGGCTGGGACAAGAATTCAGGTGATGAAGAGACTGAATTTAGGCAGGAGCGAGTGGCACAGAGAAGGGGACGAGGCAGGAGGGGACCGGCAGCACTTAAGGGTCTGGCGGCGCAGGCAAAGGTGAAGAATGGCAGTGTTTTGCAAAGTAAACAGATAAATAAGCCAAATGCTGGTGTGGAGGCAAGTGAGAAGGTTGAGTTTCCTCTGATACACCCAGGTGAGGATAGGCTGAAGACACAGATCTGGGCAGGTTGCCAGGAGCCCTGGGATTCCAAAGCCCTAGTCACCATTACCCCATGTGGTTCCTGGTCACTTCCTCCCATCACCACCACCCTGCCTGGTTTCCATAGGATGGACACTCCGAATGACACACTCTATGCATTTGCGCGTCGGCCCTAAGTCCCAAAGTGAATGACCTCCCGAGACTACAAGACTGGACAACACAGAAGCCTAAGGAAACTTTCTTACTGTGTGGCTCTTGCATATGGTCTAGGCACAAAGGCAGTCTAAACAGAGTGTTCTGGGCTGTCACTCTAGAACTTTCTATCTTATTGCTCCAGTCTTAAGAAAGTTTCCACCTCAAAGGCCAAGCAAGGATGATGCTGAGTTGACTTGACACTGAACTCCACACTTCCTTTACTCTTGGTGTCCACACGGTCCACTGTGGCCCAGCACAGCTACCCTTCCCATCCTCTAATTAGTTACCAGATGTGTGTTAAGTGTCTCTCACTGAGCCAACATAATAAAGCCCTGAAGAACATTTTTCCTCTCAGTTTAAGGATCAATCAATGAAAATCATAGTTTGGATAACTACCATTGCTGAAGGTCATCTAAGGTCACAGATGGCACTACAGCAGAACAAGAACTCAGATTTAGCTGGCCTAATGCCAAAGTCTGGCTCTTAACCATAGTTAACCAAAGGTACCTCCCAAATGGAAAATTACTAGTTATCAAGGAGGTCTTGCATGCATGGTAATCTTCCCCTCTCACTTAACAATTGCTATCTGCATTTCCCATAATTCTATTCTACTTTTTGGTAATATAATATACATTTCCCTATTTCCAATTGCAACGGTTTTTCCAAGTTGCTATATACTTTTCAATTTATTTTTAATGGCAAAATAATACTTTATTGTGGTGTCACTGTAAATTCACATGACCATTCACAGATATCTGGGCATTTCCCAGGTTGCCTCCCCCTTGCCCAAAGAATATGCTAGAAACAGTCTCTTTATACACACTGTTACTTCTTAGCAATTTATGTGTGTTAAGTCCAGATCATTCGCTTTTGAAAGGATTCAAAAGCATGATAAAGTGAGGAATGACTTCAAGAATTTGCATGTACTCATGGTTGATGGCACCTAATAATTTCATATAGAACCTCTGATGATTTAGTGTCATTAATAGGGTCCTATAAAAATGTGTCAATAGGGCGGGCCGAGTGGCTTAGTTGGTTAAGAGCTTGCTCAAGAGTGCAAGCTCTGAGCAACAGGGCTGCTGGTTTGATTCCCACAGCAGCCAGTGATACTGCAGCCAAGCTGAGATCTGCAGAGCTGCCAACAGGTGGCAGGATGGCTCAGCTGGTGAGAGCACGTGCTCCTAACAAGACTGCCTGTTCGATAATGGGCTATGCCGGCCCGCAACTAAGACTGAATTCAGCACCTTAAGCTGAGCTGCTGCCTAGATGACTCAGTGGCTAGAGCATGTACTCTTTTTTTTTTTTTAAAGATTTTATTGGGGAATTGGGGGAGGGGAACAGACAAGTTGCTGTCGTTTTGTTCTTCAGTCTAGTTGTGGAGGACGTTGCTTCACTGGCCCATGTTGGTATTATCATTGTGCTCTTCCCG